CCCCGCCCCGCCCGCCGTTCTGCTCCAGAAGGCTTAGGCGTCACGTGACAGATCGGCCGCAGTCTCCACGACGGCCGCGGAGCCGCCACGCTAAACTCGTGGAAGGGCAATCACCCTCTTGAAGGCCCTGCTATGCTCTCGGCAAATAGGGCAGAGAAAAAAAAACACAATCAACGAAAAGGGTTAAAAAAACGTAGGAGCAAAAGACAAAGACATACATGAACGTAATTATGTTTTCATTGCCACAAAAAAAATAACAGTAGGAAAAACCTATTGTTGAAAACGTAGGACAAAATGACCTATTCGTTGCAAAGTGCGCCTGTTTATTTCCTATTTAGAGGTCGTTTTTTTTTGTGAATTTTTCCCCTTGTTATCGGTCCAAAATATGCGAAATGCACGCGGCGAGCATGACTTGCACTCGGATGGCCGCAAGGGCTCTCGCTCGGCTCCTCTCTAACGAACGCATGAGCAGCGTGAGGACAGACACGAGGGCGGCCAGATAAAGGCGCCCCGCGCACGCGCAGAGCTTGCGCCGCGCCGAGAGTCGTGACCACCTTGCCGCACTGCATGGCCAGCGCGGGTGGGTCGGGCGGGGCGTGCAAGCCGGCGGCGGCCAGGGAGAGGCCTTTCGAGGGCGACTTGGCGCGCTGACAAATGCACAAAAGAAAAAAGTCTCTGCAACTTTGAAAATCGTCGGAAACGTCATCCGTGTGTGACGAATCGTTTCACCCGAAAATTTTCATTTTCACGTAGAGTGCTGGTGGTACGTTTAGGGGCTGCTCTCACACAACTCACACCCGCAATCTGTAACCTTCAATATATTGAGCTGTTGTGCTCTATGTATTTTCTGCCTGACCTTTGTGTTATTGCACTTTTGATTGAGATGTGTTCCACCCTTCTATTGTGTGCATATTTTAGTACGACCTGCAAATATATAAAAGGGAAACATTCCGAGACGTAATGTTCATAAATCGCCATTGTGTCTATTTCCAGGTACGAACGTGGCGCTGCGGAAGCCGGCCAACCAGTCGACGACGGTGCGGGGCGGCGCGGCGGGCAACGCCAACGACGGCGACCTCAGCACGGTGCACGACGGACGCCTGTGCACCGAGACCCAGCGCGAGCCGTCGCCCTGGTGGCGCGTCGACCTGCTGCGACCGTACGCCGTGCGCACCGTGCGCATCACCACCCGGGGCTGCTGCGG